ACCCGATAAAACTATCTTTCATCTCAGGGTACTACGTGTTCTCCTCCACTTTTTCTATCCAGTCAAACAGGGCTAGCAAACAATGAACGTTATGGAAGCCATTGGGGTAACGACATGCGTAACACATGTCCAGGTCACCGAATTTGGTGTTTCCAGATGACTTCACTGATTGAATAACCATCTCTATCATGCCCAAACACAAGCTGTCATACCTCAGAATTACTTACTTAGTCGTAACACATCCTCAACTCGAAATGACTAAGTTCCACAGGCGTAGATGAGAACTACTTGCACCAAAGATTTTGTAGACTCAACGTTTAAAGGTCAGATTTAGGTTGTAACAGCACTAAAGGTGATCCAGATTGGTGTATACCACTTTGGCTGTCGATATGCTATTGGAAATTTCATCACTCACTCAACTAACGAGATACACGAAGAACTTTTCGAGTACATCCAACAATTCACCGCCAACCATGAGCCAAGGCACATACTGCTGTCAGTCTTGAAAAAGTATTTCACACTTCGACGGTGTAAATGACATACTCCATATTTATGGACGTATACCTTACTTCTGGGTTACAGTAAGCAACTCATAACATCTGACAGCAAAACATAGGACATTGCAGTGTTATGTCACTTGGCTAATTTCCCACACAAGACGTTATCATCTATTCAATGATAGATTTTTGTTCATTCATGAAACTTAAAGACAACCGGAAAAGTTTTATTTGAGTACTAACAACAACTGAAATCGTTGAAGTGTTAAGAACTCATTATATGGAAAGAGTTTAAAGCGGAAAAGTGAAATGTATCTATCAACAGATAGTCATTCATAACATTCTCATCTTGTTCAACCTATAATAGTGAAATTGCTTGTCTCTTGTTTCAAACAAAAACAAAGTCTTCATGGAATGATGTTATGTCCAAATCTCTGTGCAGATGTATGTGTGTCTAAGGTAAACAAACTGTTACTCTCTTGTGTTTTATTACTATCAGCTGAAGTGCTAGATTCATTTGGTAGATATTCACCTAGTTATATGAACAGAGGTATGCAAAACCGGAAACATTCATTCAAAGTGTTCAGTACCTTGAGAACATTTCAACAGTTCACCTTGAATACAGTTAATCATTCCAGATAGGAACACTGTAGTTAACCTTTCTTTTGGTGTACCTTAGTATTCATTAAACATGCCTATATGAAATAGTAACCCAGATGTATTCACTGGCCACATTTGTAAACCTTGCTAATTGAATCTAGTCATGCAACTGGGTCCAATTAAACACCGTTCTACATTGACACTCACCAGCTCTGATAACTTGAATCACAGATTAGACGACAATGAATCAGGTGATTAGTTTTGATATAGTCAGTTTGTATATTAATATACTGATTGACATGTCTGTGGAAGCAGTTACAAACAACCTGAATAATGAGTATAAACTCACACTAGAAACTAAGATGCCATTAGATGATATCATGCTATGAATAAAGGTGTACCCAACCTCCACAATCTTTAACACAAAGGAGTTGTAATGAGATCACCAATATCCCCCTATTGTGACTGATATATTTATGGATAGTTGGGAACAGATGGCTGAATGAAATCAGAGCATACTATTGACTACAGAAAACTCTCACAGTCGACTGGTGACTTAGACTTTGCATCGTCTTACCCCATGTCAGTTAAATTTGGCTTAGTAGTGGGTTGAAAAAGGTACCAGTGAAAGAGAAGATGTAAAATAAGAAATCAGATACATTGAAGACAGTTTACCTTCCTAAATTAGCTGATAGGCTCCTTAGGAATGATAAGGAAAAGAAGACTTGTTGAATTGAAACAGGTGTTAATGGTGATAAGAATAATAACAATATTAGTGTGACTAGAGTGAGAAGAGGATGCAAACATCTACAGTATTACCATATAAGAAGGGGAGTATAGAAACACTACGTAGTATTCTCGATAAGGCTGGTTGGGAACAGAGTGGTATTTAAACGAACAAACTCACTTCGAAATAAACTTTTTAGGTTAAAAGATCCTAATGATCCAGTTGCTATTATTATTTGTTCCTTGGTTCCTAGTGCAACATAGATCTTCAGTAGCAGGTAGCCATTTTACTCTCTTCTCTGCAGTCTGGCTCCACCTGGCTCCATGACTGCTTACAAGCTTTCATTTCCTCCTTACACCACCTCCTCCATATAACACTCGAAAGCCCAACTGTTTGTTTGCGCGTTGGATTTGAGTCGAGAGCTTGGCGCGTGATGTCCCCTTACCATATTCTCAGTGTATGTCCAATCCAATGCAATCCATCTCCACTTTCTTCTGCATAGTTCCTGGGAGATGCGTTCTTGGTTGGTTCTTTTCCAGCCAGCCAGAGTTCCTTATTGCTTATTCTTTCTGTCCTTCTGATCTGATCTTAAGTATCGAGCAAGCACTGGAGGCAGTTGTTGATGTATGTGTGTAGTTTGTTGGAAATGCTCTTCGTGGTGCGCCAAGTCTGTCAACCATCACATGGAAGCAAACACTGACGTGACTTAATTAGTGTTGGAAATCCGGATGTTAATCACGCTTTATTCTGAGTGCTGCGCATTAGATCTCCACAGTGACTGATTTCAGACTGATGCAGGAAAGCTCGTCTTACTGTTATCTCGATTCTGCATTTGATATTGCCATCTGTGTCTGTACCATCTGTAGTTGAAACGATGGTGCCTAGCAAGATAGGCTGGTGAAAGGGACAACTGCGTTCAGATTTCTCCCGTTGATAGTGTCTGGTGCTTCTTGTTGTTGGTTGAGTATCTTCATCAACTCTGTCTTCTCTAAGTTCACCTGAAGTAAGGGTCGTCTTCTATACCCTGCTTGTTCCACCAACTTTTTGATTTTCGCCTGTAGATCTTCGAGTTTGCGTGACATAAGACATTTGACATAAATCATGATGGGTGAAATTCAGATCCTCTAGGGTCTTCTCATCTGCCTAACAGCTAGCGTATGCTCATCTACTTGCTCCTCACAGTTTGCGACATAATCAAGTCCATAAAAATCAGAAACATTATCGGTTATAGTTAGCAGCCTTGCCCTTCTGCTGTCTTCACTTCAAAGCGTCACTAAGCTTTCCGACAGTGGCTAATGGCCAGTCTCTATCACACACTTTATTCGATAAGTAAAACACATCATTTATATACAGGTTCTCATCAAGATCAACGGTTGAGTACTCATTCCGACTGGTCACTTGAAGAAAAAATTTGTCCAATAAGGTTCACTCACTCCACACAAAGCTGAAATCCAAAGCTTCCAAGTAAGCCTAGAAGGTCGATTTCGATTTAGACCACTTCCTATCAGGAACAGATGGTTGTCTACGTACCACCATTGAACGTGGTAATATTAAATCTGACTGATAGTGAGAAAATACAGCTCAGTATCTGTTCAAATCCCATCTACCCCACAATTAACACCTTTCTAATATTTGTCAACTTCCCATTTTGTCATATATAATCTGAAGCATATTATGCCTAAATATGATCCACCAAGTGAGTGAATAGCAAAGCTGCATCCGTTCCATCTTTTCTATCAGTTAGCTACCATTCAACCAATATCAACTGAGATACAATACACATTGATTTACCTCAAAGTGAATGGATCACACTAGTGGATGACAGGTGAAACTGTCCAGTTCAACTGAAATCACCACGGAATTTGGTGATTGAATAGAAGTGGAGGTGAGAACGTTGAAATGCGTGAGTTGTTTTATGATTGCTGTATCCGTGAAATAACTGGTTGAATGTAATGCTGTTATATGCTGTTTTCACTCTGCCCCTTGACAACATGCCAAGCACTGGAGTATTCGTTCCTCGATCCCAAACATAAGGTAGCACCATGAGTGACTGGAGGTTGGTGAAGCAGGTGTTGATGTCTGCATCGTGGGAGACTGCAGGTCACCAAATTTTTATCACATCCAGAAGCAGTGACCTTTAATCGAAGGAAACAGCAAGACTGAGACGATTTAAGGAATGTTCATCATTGACATCTTGTACAGTAGTCATCAAATATTGGACACTTTCCACTAGCATTTCTCTTTATAGAATCCTTACCCTCTGCTGCTAACTTTTTATGGTTTCTGTCGCTCCCCAAACACATACTACTTATATCCATTTTGATAAGCAACGTTCACTACACTCATTTCCCTGTCAAAATTTCGGGCTTGCAGCCGTCTTGATCGTCTTAGAGCTGTCTTCTCATAGTGTTCATCCAATGTTTTTTCTCTTACCCACTGTCTACATTTTGAAGTATCCTAGCGTTTACTGTTTTCTCTTCGTCCCCTTGTTTGATGCGACAAACCGAACTGTGTCTCTTGGTAATGATGTATCATCCTTCCTACTTCAGGAGCAGTTTCTTTCTGCCATATTCATCTCCTGAAGTGAAATCCCATTCTCGACATTTCACCTGATCTCCGACCTTGAACGGTTTCCATTTACTTCCTTCTCTTTGCTCGGATTTCTCAGACTCACCTGTTTCTCTTTTCCTGTGGACCTGAATCGGCTAGTCTGCATCACTTGATCAAGAACTTCATTCATTGATGCCATGTTTTAGTCTGGCCATCGCAAGCCTTCTTCCAGCCTGAATCTACTTCGGTCAACATTTTGTGACGAATCAGACATTTCCCGACAATCTCGGTCGATGAAGGTTCACATCTGCGTCGAATGACTCACCTCGCCCTCCTTAAACTTTATGCTTGACTTCTGCATTACTCATGTGGTGACACAATGAAGGCAGTGGTATTCAAACACCTCGGACTTTCTCACGTCCTTTCTGTTTAAGAACTATGTTTCTTAGTCATACAAGATGATAGAATGAACCATAGAGTAGCACCATCGATACTTACTAGAAAATCGATTGTTGTTATTGTGATGCTACAGACGCTGACACTACTACTACTACTACTACTACCATTACTACTAGTAGTTGTGTCAAACAGTGCATAAATATATTTGCGGTTATAAATGTACTCACCTTTGACAATCTTGACGATACAAATTAGGACTTAGCATATGTGTTAACCATATAACATAGACATCGATTGGAGCACCAGCGTAAAGTTTATATTGACCAGCTAACGGTAACCATAACATTTCATAACGATATAATATAGTCTTGTACAAGAGATAATAATCCTCTTCGGAAGATGAATTTGACAATAAAGTATTTATACAATTTTCTTGAATGTTTCTTATCAATTTTATTAATCGTTTACATCTTTTCAATAAGTTAATACTAATAGGAATTTTATTCGGATTATAAACAGAATTAAAAATATTTTGTAGAAATTTTGAATGATTACATTTATCTAATAAAAATTTATGATGAAAATTATCAATTTTTCTATTCAATGAACATGGTGTATAAAGTTGTGATAAACACTCAATTGATTGATGAATCGATTTATTCAATATTGTTTTCTTATCTTTAATCATATTGAAAATTGTTACAAGAAGATGTTCGATTTGTTTGTTTGTTTTTCCCTTTTTTCTAAAATCCTTTAAATAGTGTAAATAATTATCAAGTTTTTGCAATACAATACAATCAATTCTATGTTGAATTAGTACCAATTTATTGATTAAAGAATATCTCAAAGTTATATAATGAGAAGCTGTCACATGTTAGGTCAATCATTTGGAAATAAATTGAACGCCAAGTGAACATCTATTGTAAATAAGGCTCATTTAATCAATCCTAGAATACCAAATCTTTCCATTGTGTATATCACAGAAAGAGAAGACATTAGGGTGGATGATATCACATCAAATGATACTATCCGAAATGCTCAGCTTGAACTGTAGATCTCTCTACTAAGTAATGCAATGCCTTCTATGTTCTAATATTTATCGTAATGCTAGTGCTATAACCTTATAGAAAACTTGGTTGCGCAACCTATATGATGATCTTTAATGGGTATATTTCACAGCCATACAGTAGATTAGAGCGAACCGGTGTGCAGTACACGCGACACTTAATAAACAGTCGCATATTATGGCCGCGCTACAGGTGGTGTAAGTAGACAGAAGCCAACCGAGCCTTTTGTATCCGTGCAGAGATTTTGTCGTCAACTAACCAGCACACCAGGGCTGATCCGACTGTCAAGGTAAGTGTAGTATTCAGTGCTCTCAACCATTTTACTGTCTACTGTTAGTCGGTATACCATTGGAGATCAGTTCAACTCTTTACAAGTAATCCACAACCTAATCTTCATCATAATTCATCAACAGCTTATGCAGTGTCAAACCGAGGAAGCGAATAACCATGATATTTATCATCTGCAGCCTGATTAGTCATCCATTAAATTTGTTGTCAGTAATGATGATTGAAAGGCAAACTGCTTGTTTGTATTGTTCATTGGTAAAACATAAATTAAACATTCCTTCAGGGCTATCGAGAAAATATCTTTGAATATCTAATATTGAACAGAATCAACCAGTGTCACTCAATGTTTAGACAATAGTCTTTTATGCTTTATATGTGGAAAAGTAGAAAGTGTGAATCTCCTCACATAACTGTTGTGAGCCATTCTACTTATGACCTAATTGGTAACAATATTATCCTATAGTTTGCTGAGTTCAAAAGCTGTCGATTGGCCCCCTTCATCAACCATTTGCATGTGACTTAAAATCCTGGGCTAGCAAATCTTTCCATCCCATTGCATCTAGTTTACTCCGTTTTAATCTGTTCAAATATGACCGTGAATCGTATCGAATATTCTTGGGAAAATTTAAAAATTATCAATCTACTGCTAAGAATTTGACAAATGTAATTAAGAAAAGATATCATGGTGGATGGCAGGATAATTTAAAACGAACCAAACCACATCAAATGACATGATCCCAAATATTCAGCTCAGGCTGTAGATCTCTACTAGGTAAGGGAGACTATTTACAATGCCTTCCATGCTCTTATATTTATCTTATCGCTAGTGTAATAACCTTACAAAAGGCGGTTGCACAATCTACATGATGACAATTTAGTTTCTTTAAATGGTTTCAAGTTGTTTGGCCAGGATCGGTATAATTCAACGGAAAAGTATGATGGAGATGTAGCTACATTTTTCAATACTGAATGGTGTTCATTAAATTATACATGTTCCGACTATTATAATGACAAAATAGACCGTTAGGTGTCATCCCAGGCAATTAGATAAATTTGAATTCATTTACATCACCAACATTTAGCTGACTCCTCGCTGCAGCTGCTTATATATATATATATATATATATATTATATATATACATAACAAACCTCAGAAAAATACCTTTACACAGCAATCTAAGAAGACTATACGTAGGAGTGAGCGAGAAGATGGGCATACGCTGGCTGGACGAATGAAAAAACCCTACACCATTTAGATTTCGCCCACGATGATTATGATGATTTATGTCTAATGTCTCTTCACACAAACTGGAAGATGTACAGGCGAAAGCTAACAAGTTGACAGAAGAGGTGAAGCAGCGAACACGGGACATGTCTCAGGTGAACGAAGAGGAGACACTGGTCATGAAGATACTCAAACAACACCATCACCACCATCAACAGCAACAACAAGCACTAATCACAAGCAACGGGAGAAACTTAAACGAAGTAGTCTCTTCCACCTACAACCTACCTACTACCTACTACCTACCTACCTACCTACCTACCTACCTACCACCTACCTACCTACCTACTAACTACCTACCTACCTACCTACCTACCTACCTACCTACCTAACCTACCTACCTACCTACTACCTACCACCTACCTACCTACCTACCTACCTACTACCTACCTACACCCTACCTACTACCTACCTACCTACCTACACCTACCTACCCTACCTACCTACCTACCTACCTACCTACCACACACCTACCTACTACCTACCTACCTACACCTACTACCTACCTACTACCTACCACCTACCTACCTCTACCTACCTACCTACACACCTACCTACCTACACACCTACCTACCTACACCCCTACCTACCTACCTACCTACCACCCATACCTACCTACCTACCTACCTACCTACACCTACCTACCTACCACCCATACCTACCTACCTACCTACCACCCCAACCTACCTACCTACCTACCTACCTACCTACCTACCTACCTACCCACACACCCACCCACCTAAGCAGCATCGTTTCAACTACACGTGACGGGCGACACAGGCACAGGTGAGGACGTGAAAGCCACCCACCATCGGAAAGACAACAAGACACGCCTTCCTGCATTAATCTCAAATCAGTTAGTGTGCACATCTACTCCACTCCACTCCACTCAGCATATAGCGTGAACAGGATACGGATTTTCAACACCAATCTAGTCAAGTGACTCAGTGCTTGCTTCTATGTGATGATGGTTGAGGAAGTTGGCGTATCACGAAAATCACTCCCAACAAACTGCACACATACATCATGAAGAGCTGCCACCTACACTGTCTTGATAGTGAAGATCAGATGAGATGGTGAGAAAGAGTAAGCAATAAGGAAGTGTGGCTGGCTGGCTGACAACCAACGAATCAACCAATCAGGAGGTACCACTCAACAAATATTCAGAAGAAGGGAGTGGATATGGATTGGTCATGCACTGGGGTGGCCGATTGGTGACATCACATGTCAGGCGAAGTTGTCGAGTGGAACCCAGATGGGAATGGGTGAGTTGGGCGTGTGAGGTGATGGTGATATGGAGGAGATGATGTGAGGAAGAAATGAGAGATTGTGGGCAATCGTGGATTCAGATTTGAAAGACTGTAGAGACGAGAGTGGAATGGAGGCGTGCTACTGGACCCTATGTCCCACTAGGAAGGAACCCAAGGGACAAATGATGATAATAATAGTGAGATTAGGAAATATTTGAAAATGATACTCTGGATGTCACAGTCGATGTTGTTACGTGGTACCTTAAATTTTGGTTTGATACTTGCTATCCAGCGGAAATAATTTTTCGCAGATTTGATAGATTTTATTCCCCCTCCGTAAAATGAAAAGATTAAAAAGAGGAAAATTAAAAAAAGTACCATTAGTCTACGTGTGGTACATTTGTTCACTTTCCACTGAAACAGTGATTTACACAATGTGCCTCAATTACTCTTCTCTTTGTATCTCGATTTGCTCATAATGCTCCCACATTGTCTCTTACGTTTCTCTGAGGAGAATATTTACTTATTTTGGTAACTGCTTGTGATTTCTGCCACTCTCTCAACATATACTACTTATATCCATTGTGATCAGTAGCGCCCACTACACTACTACTACTACTCACACTACTACTACTATTCACAATACTACTACTACTACTCACAATACTACTACTACAACTCACACTACTACTACTACTACTCACAATACTGCTACTATTCACAATACTACTACTACTACTACTACTCACACAACTACTACTCTACTATTATTACTACTATTATTATGTTTATTGTGGATGAAATTAACCACCATAGTAATCATTTTGCAGTGCGTATCATTTCATTGTTATGCTGTCGGGTAAATAAATACTACGAAAGTACACAAATATAATTTTTATGAGTTTACCATGACTTCATCAGTGTGCTACCTAACAGAACAGGTTTTATAAACTTTATTCAGTCATCATATTTTAAAAGCAGTTTACTATGTAGTTGTAATGTTTTCCTCTAATCTGTATGAAGAATTTACGTCATTCAATGAACAACTCCACAATGTTCATATCTTCACTTCAAAATGATATTTCCACCACTTTTTTTTACATAACTTTTTCTCTATTTAGGCAAAGATGTACACTTGTGAATATGAGATTTAAGTAGTATATGTTAACTTGTTGTTGCTTCTTGACACTTCCTGAATATAGTGTGTACAGCCACTTTAATCAACGTCTATCTTGACTTTTACTACTGACAGTTTGAAGGACAATTTCTTGAAGAGTCTTGATTGTATTGTGTTCTCTGAGGAGCTGGCTTGTTTAATCTTGAAGCTTCCATCATCTTGCTAGACAGCGACATCATCAGCACTAACTTCAGTATGAAGTGAACTAGCTGTCAATATTTCTCCGCTATGGACAAGGAAGACTATATGAAGAAGTCAGAGGAATTACTGAAAGACGAAAATGTGTATCTACCACTTGAAACCAACCCTATTCAAAAGTTCGACAACCAGATCAATAAAACCTTGAAAAAACTCTTCAAAGCAGAAGAAATAATCAAGCAAGACAAATGGCGTATGAAATCAAATGGACCTATCCTTCTTCAATTCTACGGACGGCCAATAGTCTCACTTCCAGGAACTCTAACTTACAACATATCAAGAGAACTTTTGAGAAAACTGAAACACGTCATCCAGTCATGCGGACATTCCATCAAGTCACTAACAGAATTCTTAGAAAAGATCAAGAACATTAACATAGAAAACGATGAGTTAATGATATCCTTCGATGTCATAGCATTATAC